GTATATAAAGAGGGACTATGTAAGATTCTATAATTTGTTATTATGGTTTAAAAGTATACAAAAGAATACACACAGAGAGAACATTTATGACTGACTTTACCAGAGAGGGTAACATACTTTCTAACTAGAAATATTCCCAGGAATAAGAAGGATTACTTTTTGCCATGTGCTAACTCTTTGATGTTTATTAATCTTATTTAATTCTCCTCACAAATCTAAAGTACTAAAACACTTCACAGATGAGGAAATTGAGACACAGACAAGCTCATATAGCTCGTAAGGACTCAAATTCAGAAAATAAATACCCAAGACTTGAATGCTTCTCAACTGGGTGACAAAAATCTGGCTATTTTTAAGAAACTCAAAAAAGACTATCACCCAAGGTAGAATAAATTCATCAAAGAGTGTTACAGATCTACTCACCTAAGTCTTTCTTTGCAGCTTGTGGTTTTCATATTTACCCACAATTCATATTTCTGAGTGAATGGAGGCACAACGGGAGCACAGCATGAACAGAAGGCACAGAGAACTTTCCCTGTGTGCATGAACTTGCCCCCAGGGCGAGGGCACCCAGCAGTGTGTGGCCTGACTGGAAAGCCTCACATCCCTTTTCTGCTTGTCAGCATTCCTCTAGGAAGTTAAGAATGTTCTGGAAGCATATACTATCGAGTCAGAGGGATGTAGTTTTGAACACTGGCTCAGCCACTGCATGCATATTCGCCGGACAAGCTCATAAAGATAGCTTTCTAGAATCTCAGCTTCCTCAACTGCCAAAGGAGCCTGGATTCTTCTGGATTTATAAGGACTAAATTGGACAATGTCTGCAAAAGGCTTTTCACTGTCCTTAGAACACAGTGACCCTTGTATTACAGCCACTCCCTGTATGTCAAATATAGAGACTGACAAGTCAGCTACATGTATAAGTAAGTAGGTTGTACTGACATGAACTTGTTTGGATCTCAGCTGACATGTTGAGGCAGCGACTTTCTTTTTCTCCATTTTATAGTTAAATAGGAATCATTGTTAAACAGTCACCCGGCTAGTAAATGGCAGTGTAATGAATCAAAGTTGAACAGCTTCTCTCCCTAAACTCTGTCCCTAACTGCTCGAAAGTGCATGATCAAGGGCAGTTGTAGAAGGCACCTCCGGAGCTCATTTTCTATGGCCTTATCTATGGTGAAGGGTGATATGTTTTGCTATCACAGATATTTTATTATTATGAGTGAAGAATAGGAACCCTTACCATCTAACAAGGAGGACTCCAGGGATGAGGTTATATACTCCGCAATGCCAGAACAACCCCTCTCAGCAAAACAATTACCAGGTGTAAGACATCCACCGTGTCAAGGTTGAGAAACCCCACCTCTGAATAAAAGAGGATTATGTAATCCAGATATTGAAATAATTTCTGATACAACATCATTACATTAGTGCTATAGAAAGAGTTGACATAGGCTGACTGCAGGCTTGGTACCCTCAGAAGCTGTGTGTTATGGGGAATGCATCTCAGGGATTAAAACTAAAGAGCCAGACCTCATTTGGTACAGAGCTAAATGAGCATGCTGTTAATGTGACTTCCAGACCTTATTATTTAACTTATAATGGGGACAAGAAATCTTGCTGTAAGCAATGTGAGTACCTGGCATAAAGCAAATGCCTGGGGAAACCCTGATTTTGTCACTACGTTAGGAATTTCTCAGTGGTTTAACCCTAGGGTGTTCTGGTGGCACCAAGACATATGAGCAAGTATCTATCTGCCTGGCCCCTGGAGAGCACCGAATGAGCAACGTTAAATCCAAGATGATGGTAGCTCCCACCAGGTTGCTGTATGGTAGATGTTTTCTGGGGAGAGTGGGAAGCTTTCTTTCTCTCTTCTGTAGCTGGTTTCTGTAGTTCTGTGGTAAATGTGGTTCTGTATTTTGTTTGGCTATTCTTTCCCTCCTCAAGGTTTCATCTGCTCGGTTTCAGTAAACAAGACTTTAAGGTAGAGAATTAACATTAGTATAAATGGATTTTATTACATTTTCTATTCTTGTCATGCAAACAAAAAAAGTGAAGTGGATCCCCGCCCCCCCCCCCCCCCGTGGTTGTTGTTATTAGTCTACATTTTTCTTCACTGTGAGCTAGAGTGAAAATTAAAAAGTTAAAGGTCAAAATATCAAACTGTTGTCACACATAGATGGGATTTGTGCTTTTTCTTCTGATATGAATATCACCCACCCACTTCTAGAAAACTGTCATGAGGTTAAGCCAAATTATCTGAGTCGTGATAACTATTTCTTGCCCCAGCTGGAAATCCAAATGCAATTGGCTGATTTTGCAGAGTACAGCTCTAAAGACAGAGGCACCTAACTGTTTTTAGAGAGATGTTATATTTTTAATCAAGTAGCGTTTTAATTACCAACATGCTTCCCGCCTCCTGCCCTCCCACAAAACCTGCTCATCAATTCTCGTGGGTTTTGGGGGACACAGTAACAGCAGTTTGGAACCCTGGATTAAAAATGCTGAAAATCTTGACAGTCTCCTGTGTGAATATGTTCATATTTTTCCTGAGCCACAATTGCTGATACACTGTTTTGGCTTTAGAAAAGCTGGAATTCAGTGCAGAATGTCTGTTTTGGAAGTCTGCAGGAATGAAGCAAATACTCATTTGTGGCTCTGTCTCTTCCTTTTTCTTCCTCTTAGTTTAAAGTTCTGGAGAGCCCTGAAATTTATCATGGATTTTATTTGAAAATTCATGTGAACCCCCAAAATAACATAGGCCTGCATAATGGGAGTTAGAGTGGGAGAAATGATAGGCTTGAACCTAGACCTCGTGTGTAAAGAACTAATTGAAGTTTTACGTGTGGTATGTGACTCTCTACACCACAGGACTCTCTTCTGGGAAATGAGTGGACAAGGTTTCCTCCTGTTGATGCTAAATACCAAAATCACTAGGGATGAGTGAAGTAGATGAGACAGGACCTGAGCCAAACTGCAGAGCCCATCTCTCTTCTAGTGAGGGCAGGATTTATCTCTAGCCAATTCGTTTTGAATCATACATGAAAAGATAGGTCCAGAGATACCAAGTCAACATGTCAATTTTCAAGAGAAACTTTCAGTCTTATAATTTGAGACTTATAAGTAAAAAAAGGACTATGTTAATGGGTCAACAACGGCCCCAGGGCTGAAAGGTGCTATATTTCAACAGCGTTTTCTCAAAGACTAAGACCCATTTCTTTCCAGAGACTAAGACCCAGCTCTTTCCCATTTGTTCAGATGTACCACAAAAACACAAATTGACTTGGTAGTGCTGGGGACTGAATCTAGGGCCCTGCCCGGGTATTCATGCACTCTACTACTCAGCCACATCTCAGCTCTTCATTTTGAGATGGTCACTAGGCCTTGAGACTTATTCTGTTGCCCGGGCTGGTCTTGAACTTGTGATCTCTCTGCTACACCTTACTGAGTACTGAGATTATAGGAGTGTACTCCATGCCCAGAACATTCTTTAACTGAATTCTGAGCATGTGACCTGACTCAGCATTACAACATATTGATTTGCTTATCTTATTCTACAACTATGAGGCGGCTCCCTTTTCATGGTACTCAGAGAAAGCAATCTGTGTTGGAACTGTGCTAACTATGTCAAGTATCAGGCTACATATACAGGTGCTATGTGGGTTTGGCTGTTGGCTATTAGCTAGTAAGACCTAGGTCCAGCAATTGCTATGGGAAGAATGAAGCATAAGTATTTATGATACCCTAACCATGGTTGTTCAAATACATTTAACACAATGAGATTAAAAACATGCTCATTTAAATTCTAAATGAAGATATCTACTCCATGCCTTCTTTTCTTAGGATTCACTTCTAATTTCTTATCTTGGGAACTAAAATAGCAGATCCTTTGTTTCTTCTAAGATGGAGCTTAAGTCACTTTCTGTTTACCCAAATAACTTCTCTTTAACATCTTAGATAATATAAAGGAAGCTGAGTGCAATTGATAAAACAGAGGGCTGCAGGCAGGCTGGCCCAGCAGGAATGCTTATGTTAATAGATGTGCTGCTGAGGAGAAAGCATTGGTACAGATGTTGGTGATGTTCCTGCTAGTCCTCATGTCCCACTAAGACTGGCTGGGGACTCAGGGGGATTCACAATCCATCCTCAAATCCTTCTCTGCTTCAGTTGTTCAGGTGAGGTACCAAGTTATTTGTATGCTACCATGGACAAATCAAGCACTTGTACACTTCCTGGGCTATTGCTAAATGTCTTCCATGCTCATGGAAATGGTGTGATTTTAACCAGGGATAGGTACTCATACCACAGTCTTCTCCAAAGTGTGGGACATGGTGAACATGTCACTTTTCAAAGCAAATTTATACTATCCTTATTTAAAATAGTGTACTTTGGGGGCATAGGATGATACATAGGTACTGATGGAGTGCCTGCCTAGCACACACGGGACTCTATGACTGACTCCTAGAACTATGAAAAAATGCATAAAAGTCCAGGAATTAGATGCTGTCTGTTACTGAAAATATTCATACAAAAAGTGTTATTAGCAACTCAAAAAAATGAATAAAAGAGCACACTCATAGGAAAGGCTACCCCTTGAACTGAGTGTCTCTTTTTCTTTTTTATATATCCACATGAATTTTAAAGAATTGGGAATATTATTCCATTCCCTGTAATGACCTATAACTGTTTACCCTCAACACAGAACTTAGTAAATGTGATCAGACTGCATTTATTGTTAGTAAATTGGAACGTTGTTCAATTAAACACAAATTTCCATGTGTTTTAATCAGAAATCTTGTAGTAGATCTCAAAAGATAAAATTTGATTATAATGACGTATGGGCCTTGTTGTAAAGCCTTTGATTATGGGACTCATGGGAAAATAAGGTAGGCTTTGGATAATGATTCTCACTGCAAAAGCAGCAAGCTCCCAAGACTCTGGCCGTCTAGAACCTCATCGGCAGGGCCAGTCACTCGCGGAGAAGAGACAGTAGACCTTACCTTTGGAATACACATTGTGGGCTCGGACAGGCGAGGGTAGGTGTAGGAGTTGTACGAGTGTCCTTGAGAATGAGTTTTAAATGCACTTGCTCCAAACGGCATCATGGGTTCCTGAAGCCCTGAGCCTGACTTGGACCTCTGCCGCATGGCCGGCTGAGGGCTTGTCTGATGTAGGTATGACGACTTTGGCCTTCTGTCATACTCATCAAAGCTGGGTCCCCAGTCACTTTCACTGTAAGCCAGACTCTCCTTGGAGCACCTGCTGGTCCCTGCAGTTCTAGAAGGCGTCAGTTGGAATGAGTAATCCAGAGGAGAGCTACTGGAGGCTCGCTGATAACCCCACTTAAGGTCACTGTATTCACTTGGTTTGCTCAGGGAGTCCAAGTGTGTGTGGTAGTCGACAGGGAATCTGGCAAGGTCAGCTTTCAAAGGCTTCATCTCAGGGTAGTAGGCATCCCCGTGTTTCATCTTCATGACATGCCCATTTTGCTTGGCTGCATGGCCGCCTTTGTAGTACAGATCCAGGTCGTCTCCGTAGAGACTCCTCTCTCTGTACTTTTCCGTTGTATAGTCCGCAGTAGTATCCGATTCACTGGAATATTGTGAGAAGGTGATGAAGCCATTTTCTTCCGAGTGGCCTTGAACATGGCCAGCGGCTCCTTGATCAGGGGTGGGTGGGCTTTCTTTCCTTAGGGAATTGGAGCGAGTCACAGAGATGTTGTCGAAATCCTCTAGCAGGCCATTAATAGAGGTTTCCTTGCAGGATTTATTTCCTCTGACGATTGTCTACGAATAACAGGAGGAATATTGTTAAGAAGATATCTCTGGTTTTATAATTGCTGGAGGATGGTTGCGTCTACTTCACCCACTTTAAACCACGAAAGAAAACATGAGAGGAACATTTTAGTTAAAAAAAAAAAAAGTAAAGAAGCAATTGTTGACTGACTTCACTGGAAAAATTATAAAATATTCAACAGTAATCTGGGCTTGCAAATTTATACTTAGTTATTGCATTAGACCATATTGTTTTGCAGATAAAAAATAAACATGCACCTTCTTTTAAAATTACTTTTAATTTAAACTTTGATAAGTTCATAGATATGTACTGTAAATATACTCACCCTGCCTCTCTCTCTTGTCCCCTCCTTCTCCTACAGACCCTTCTCCCCCACAAGCAGCCCTTCACCTCTTCATGTCTTATTTTTGTGCATGTTGCCATAGCTGCTATGTATTCAATGTTGGGCTGGCCATGTCATTTCCAGAAGGCAGCATTCCACAGCACCCCTCCTTATCCTCCAGCCCTTACAATCGCTCCATTTTCTTTTCTGTGAGGTTCCCTGGGTCTTAGAGTGGGCGATGTAAATAGCCTGTTTAGGGCTGAGCAATCAACAGTCATATATTCCCAGCATTTTGATCAGCATGACTCTGTATTAACCATTGCCTACAGCAGAAGTCTCTCTGATATAAACACTTGTCTAAGGGTGTAAATACAAACAGAAAGCAGTTTGGAGACATATATATCTATACTCACATATACATATATATGTGTATATATATACATATAATATTTGTAGTAATTTCTGCCTGAGGGCCTGTGTAAACCTTTACCTTTTAACAATGAACTGATGGATATAAATTTTAACAGTCTGGAACATTTGGTTATAAAAAGCATGTTTGTTATTTTAAAATCCACTATCCCGATGATTTATAAAACCAAGAAGCATCATCACTTGAAAATGAACACAGGTATAAAATTATGACTGATGTTATATGACTTTTATGGAAGATTCTGGAAGACTCTGAAACTGTGGTTATTGGTTATCGAACAGTATGGGGACTAATTATGTGGTGTTTGCCATCCAATGTAATACTGTTACACGTTAAACTACAGTCCTTGCAGTGGCCACACCTGGGTGCTACCATCTTTGAATCTGTAGTTTTGTTTGGTAATAATGTGAGCGTGTCTGGCTCTTGGTGACAGACTGTTCCCTTTAATAAACCTAAATAAGAGCAGAATATGAGGAACAGAAAGAAACATCAAGCCACTTACAAAGCCAGTCATCTGTGTCTTGGCTTGTCACTACACGGTTTGCAGTGAAATATATGGGGGTGGATAAGAGAACAAAGAATAAAGGGTGGCTATCAAGATTTTAAGAGGAAAAAACACTTTTGAGCAAGTAGCAAGGAGCTCAAAATCATCATGGTTAGTACACCGGGAAAGCTCATGGTGTAGGAAGCAGACCAAACTGTCCCAGAGTTTGGGAGGCACAGACTAGTACCTCAAACTTCATGCTGAAAGACAAGGCTCTGTTTTAAATTTTTTTCCACCAAACCGTCTTAGATAAAATTCTTTTTATTTATGCTCTTTTAAATAAACTTATTTTAGAATAGTTTAGCAGTGACATTTCAGAGATTGGGCAGAATATTCCTAACTACCCCACACACAGTGTTTCATGTAATAACAGCCTGCATTATAATTAGTGAAATGCCACCTTTATCAGCTTTCTCCTAGGGCTCTGGAGTTTTACCCATGAGAAATAAATATTTATTGATTATGTCTCCTGAGTCTCCTTAACAGTTTCTGAGACTTTCCTTGTTGCTAATGACCTTGGCAGCTTTGTGCAGCATGAACAGTTATTTCCAGAACATCCTTCAGTTGGATTCGTCTGATATTTTCCTTATGTTTAACTTGTGTAATAAGTTTTGGAGAGGAAGGCTGTAAAGTACCAGTTTCATCATCCGGCATTTGGGGAGCACTGTCAGCGTGGTTTAGTACTGATAATGTTACCTTGGTCACTTAGGTGATGTTGTATTTGCCAGGTGTCTAAGATCTACTTTACAATTCCCTCCTTCCCTCCACTAGCAAGACATAAAGCCCACCATAGCAGAGGGGTGGCAGGATTGATGAATCTCCGTGTCTTTGTATAGGCATAATTGTATAATGCATTTGGAGTTCTGCGTAGGAGGCTTATGTATTGCCCACATTCCTCTCTCTCTCTCTCTCTCTCTCTCTCTCTCTCTCTCTCTCTCATTTATCTGTCTCTCTATCCATCCATCCATTTATCTATCTACTATCCATCCATCTATCATCTATCTATCATCTATCTATCTATCTATCTATCTATCTATCTATCTATCTATCATCTGTTTATGTTATGATTTAATTCTGTGCCATTTGTTTTGTCACCCAAACACTGCTCTCTGGGCACGGACATATGTACATTACCTCCTTGAAGCCCAAGCAGTTGTGGTTACCCACTTGAGACCCTAGCACTGGGCCTACTTATGGAAGACTTGGAGTGCTGTACCCAAGACAGCACAGGAGACCTGGTCTCATCTTTGAAGATTGGCAGTTAACTGTTGCTAGGGTGAGGAAAGTCTTTGACTGCCTACATTTGCCCCTGTACTTGTGGGTACACCTACACTATAAGTAACCCTGTTAGACTCATTGATTCACCAGCCTCGATGTGGATGGAATGGTCTCCTTGATTTATAGTTGGTGCACTATCTGGACAGATGCTTTTTTACATCTCCCTATGCAAAGTTATGTAACACTAAAAATGTGTAATTTTTTGCTTTTTATTGTAAAACTTGGACTTGCACTTCTAAACTATGTGATATCAAGAAAGTTGCTTAAACTTTTGTGGGCCTGACTTCTTAATCTATGAAATAGTAAGAATCAATACTTTTAGGATTAAGATAGCAATTTATTTATATTTAATAATATGTATAAGTTGGTTGACATGATTCTTGGCATAGAAAGTACTAGTTAAGTACTTGTAAATTAATTATTTCCTCAGTAAAATTTTAAGTTAAACTGAAAATTTGGGAAAGAAGTTACAGACAATAGAAATTTAGCTGCAGCTGCATATATGGGATATAAGTAGAAAATAAAACTATTAATAACTTAAGATATGAACCCTAAATTTCTTAAATCTAAAGGGAAGATTAATTTCAAATTAACTATAATTGCTACATAAAATAAGTGCCACATTGGAGCACCGGAATGAGCTCCCAAGGTCCCAATGAGGAGCAGGAGGAGGGAGAACATGAGCAAGGAAGTCAGGACCGTGAGGGGTGCACCCACCCACTGAGAGAGTGGGGCTGATCTATTGGGAGCTCACCAAGGCCAGCTGGACTGTGACTGAAAAAGCATGGGACAAAACCGGACTCTCTGAATATGGCGGATAATGAGGGCTGCTGAGAAGCCAAGGACAATGGCACTGGGTTTTGATCCTACTTCATGTTCTGGCTTTATGGGAGCCTAGCCAGTTTGGAGGCTCACCTTCCTATACCTAGATGGAGGGGGGAGGACCTTGGACTTTCCACAGGGCAGGGAATCCTGACTGCTCTTCAGACTGGAGAGGGAGGGAGAGAGGAGTGGGGGGAGGGGGAGAGGAATGGGAGGAGGGGGAGAGGAGTGGGACGAGGGGGAGGGAAATGGGAGGTTGGGAGGAGGAGGAAAATTTTTTTTCCAAAAAAAAAAAATCATGGTCAGCATTCTACTGATCTCCTTCTTAAAAATGTATGTATAAATCAGAAAATTAGCACAATTAGACTTTAAAGATTTAAACAGAATGATGGCCATGAAAATGAAAGGCTAGGAGAAATACAGCAAAGACCGACAGAGGCCTTTCCTCAGTGGGAGGATTCAGGCTCAAGCTTTCTCAGACAGTAATGTTTACACAAGAGCTGGGAAAGAAGATTTAGATGCAATAGACTTGGAGAGACCCCGAGAAGCTGAAATGCTCAGAAGGTCAGACAGGTGGCATGGCTGTTCCCCTGTAGCACACACTGCGCACAAAACACAATTATATAATGTTCTAGATTCTAGAGTTCCTGGATTCAGGAAAAATGAAAATACAGATGGTCTGCTTTTCAGTGTAATAGAATCCAGCATTTTGTAAACACAGACACAGACATACACTGTTCTTTTTATACGTGTGTGTGTGTGTGTGTGTGTGTGTGTGTGTGTGTTACGGTTGACTTGGGGAGCTGTACTGTTCAACACTTTACCATCCATTATGAAGCTGAAACACATTTTGTGTTTTAGCAAATGATGATCTTAAGGACTTAGACTTTCCCAGTCAGGTCAGCTTGCTGTCCCAGCTCTGCTCGCTTTCTTAGCATCATAGTCTTGCTATGCAGCTGTAATAATCCATAGTGTTACAGATTAGTAAAACCTAGGTACAACTCAAGTGAACGTGTAGTTGTTGATACTTGAAAGGAAAATAATTGATTTAGCCATGGGAAGAACACAGATTATAGCAAGCGAAAAAAAGCAAGAAAAGTAAAGCATGCTCTAACTAGGGGATTTTCTTTTCTTGGATTTTTTTTTTCAGAATTTAAAAACGATTTTGACTAAGTATGCAAATCATTCTAACCAGAAACATATGGTGTTTTTGTTTCAGTTGAACTCCCAATCTATTGTTAATAAGCAGGAGTGTAAATGTTGGCTCCAAATAACTTTCCAGCACACACATGCACACACATGCACACACACCCAAATAGAACAACAAAAGCCTTTTTGATCAGTACATCCAGTTAAATGAGAATGCAAACCATATTACTTTTGCTGACTTGCATTTCCTTATAGAATCATAACCATCAAGGCAACAATAATGAAATTCAAACACAGAGAATTGTCCAATGTGACTTAACCAGGCATCACTGAGGAACTGTTATTTATTAAACTCAGCATCTGATGTTTATTTTAAGAGAGATTTGTGTAATTTCAGGGAGATCAATAATACAATAGCTACAAGAATATCAGAAGCTCTTATGCT